ATGGCTGCGCGCCTCGCCGGCTCCGCGCTCCCATTGGAGGCGCTGCGCCGGGGCGGGCGAGCGGCACCGCCCCCGCGCGCCGTCGAGGCGCCGTCGTCCCGGCTGCTCCCGGGTCGCCTCTGCCCGGGCCGCGCCCCGGAGCCCGCCGAGGGAGGGAGCTAGGGAGGGAGGCGCGCCCCTCTTGGGAGGGCGCTCGCCCGGGCTGTGTTGGCGAGCGGAACCTGCGGGCAGGACGCGGTGGGCGAGGAGAGCGCGCGGGAGCACGTGTGCACGCGGCTGCGCAGGAGCCGGGCAGCGCTCCGTTGCCCAAGCCCGCTGCAAGCGGAGCGGCGAGGAGGGGGGGGCATCGAGCCTCCCTGGGGAGAGAGGCCTGCAGGCCTGGGCCCCTGCGGAAAAGTCTGCGCCTTGAGCAGGTCAGCTGCTTTCTCCTGAGACGGCTCTGAGCTGGGCCTCCCCGGGAGGCCCGAGTGCTTTGCGAGGCGGTTCTTCTGCCACAAATCCTGCACTCCTGCCAGGGCGCTGTGCCCTTCGCATGCCTCCCGCAGTTTCCTTCCAGCACACCTGTAGGCAGCGGGGTGCCCTTACCCCCTCCCCCCTTGGAGAATGACGGTGTGCTTGGGTGGGGAAGGGCTGACTTTCCCAAAATCCTATCATGGTCCCCTGGCAGAGGCGCAGCCTGACTCCCCGCATTGGCACTGTCCCAAGAGGCCCTCTGTGCATCCCCCACGCGGTCACAAAATTTATGTATGTATGTATGTATGTATGTATGTAATGCCTCGACCTGGCCGGATCAGCCTGTCAGGGCCTCCTGCATTCTGAACTGATGCTCTGCCATGGAAATTAGCTCCCTGCTCAAGCAGGTGCACTGCTACACCTGCTGTCGAAGCACCCCTGGCTCGCCACAGGCCGTGCCCCTGCTCCTGCGCCCTTGCGAGGTCTCCTCCACATGGGCAGCCTCACGCCTGACCCCAGTGGTGAGGTTTCCCCTGGGCCGTGCTTGCAAGCTGGACAGCTTGACCCCCGGGACGGCCTCCACCCCGGCTGGCTCCCCCTCCCACATCGCGCCCCAGCCCACCCCACCAGGTCATGTGCCCTTCCCACCCCGCAAGCAGGCGGCTCGCCCAGGAGGCCCTGCCGGCCCTGAGCAGACGAGGGCTGGCCAGGCCTCTAGCCTCATCCGGCATAGCTGTTCTCTTCCTAGGTCAAGCTCAGACCTGGACCAAACAGAAAGTGAAAGCCAGCTTTTAAAAAACACATGCATTGCTATCCAAGCGGAACTGGGACCCTGGGTAGGAGGTGCTCCTTTTTTTTGGGCCATGGCTGACACAAGAAATCCTTCCGCTGCAACGTGCGCAAGCTGGAAGGAAGCTGCGAGGGGTTTGTGCGTGCTTCGCCTCTGGTGTGGTTTCCTGCTGCTGTGGAAACCGTTGCTGATTTATGAAGACAGCTGACTAAATAGTTTCTTATCCCTCCACCTCTTGTCAGCAGTTCTGCTTTGCTCCTTTGTTGCCAAAGCCCTGAATAATGCAAGAATTAGATGGGGTTTATAGATATCTGTAAGGCCTCTGGGTTGCTTTACAAGAGGCACAATGCTTTGACTGGTTCTTTGGTTCGTGCTTGGAGGAGCAACGCTAGAAGAGACTGGCTCCAATAGAGTTGTGTATTATGAAATTTTAGTATTGCGTTGCCAAGCCAGATCTCCCAAGACCTGGTCTGACACTCACTGTGTGCCACACTGGCCTCCCACACCATGCCTTCACCCTTCAATTTTTATCATTATTATTAAAATGGCATGTGCCATAGAAGTGTTCCTAGGCAAGAAACCTGTAACATTTCAGAAGGATAGGTGCAGGGGCTAAGGCATTATAATAAATGAAACACCATTTTAAGACTTTTTCTCAGTTGGTTCCAAAGTTGCAGAAAATGCAGCCGGGCCGGGTGAATGAAGGACACGCCAAGGCCAAGCAGGTCCCTGGTGCCGAGCACCGTGAGGTGCTCCAGGTCCTTCTGACTCTGCCAGAGCAACTTTGACTCCCTGCTCCTTGGAGAAAAAGCCCTCCCCCCACTCTGATCACAGGTTCAGCCCTTCCGGTACATGCAGCCATTTGGTTGCACACAAGGAGTACAGTCTTGCCCATGCACACACCTCCAAGCGGGGTGTGGACAGGAAAAGAGGTGGATCTTTTGGGATGCTTGCACTGACCGAACTCAACGAAACAGCGCGTGGGGGATGGAGCTGGGGGAGGTACGGACGTGCGCCCGTGTGTGGTGGATGTTGCCAGGGTCTCCTCTCTGGTTCCGTCCTTTTTCAACTTCTTTAGAATGACGACTTCTTGTCAGAGGAGGAAGGTGCAGAAGGAACACTCAGAAGGCTGGTAAGGTGGCTGGATTTTCCCGGAAGTCAAAGTCACCTTTGTGTAATCAGTGCCAGGTAGCAATATTTTCCAAAAAAACGTGTTGCAGTCATAGAAGGATTGCATTTTTCACCTGCAGACTTTCAGAATAGGATGAAGGAACTGGTCCAATTTCTGGATTTTTTTGTTCTGGATGCTGGTAGGTTCAGCTTCATGCTGTACAATTTTGTATTATCCATTTTGGAGATGCAGAATTTTAACAAACTAAAAGCCAATAAAATCAGTGCTGAGTGGAGGGCCCCATGTTCTAAGAGCATGGACCACGAAAGTCAGAGGACCACAAGAATTTGCTTTGTATGACCTATGAAACATAGAAACAGAGTGAGTCAGAAGGGCCATCTAGCCTGACCCCCGGCTCCAGCCATCGCTGCTCACGACATGCCCACCGTGTGCATGTCCAGCCTATCTTTGAACACCGACGGGGCCTTAACGCACGGCTGGAAAATTTGCGTGCAGCAGGCCTTACTCTCGCCTCCAGATGAGCTGTCCAAGGTGCTGCAATGCACAGGTGTTTGCAGAAAGGGAGAACAGGCCGTGTGTCTAGTGCTGGGGACTGCAGAGAAATTTTCAGTTTCGGAGAAACTGCACTGAAGCTGGTCTCAAACACAGACTGCCTTCTGAAGGCAGCAAAGTTAGATATCCGCATCTGAAAAGTGCAGACCTGCACGACTTGGGACCTGGTCCTACAGGCTATGCTTTTCTTGGATGAAAAGCTCAGATTTCAGAGGTGTTCCAGTATCCAGAGCCTTCAGAGAGCCAAGGGAGCACCAGATTGCTTTCCCCATCAAATTGCTTGATAATGGCTTTCAGTTCAGAAATGTGCACAGCTGATAATGCATATTTGAGGAAAGGCTCACGAAGAGGAGCCCAAATTTTCCGGGGGGAACCTTTCCCCACAAAGCTCAAGAGCCGACTGGCAAATTTTAGACCATTCTGATGAGCTCGTCTGGCTGATTAACTCCAGCCCTTGCTCTGGAATTTTGGGTGAATAAGGCTTTGGGGTGAGCTGGGATGAACAGGTTTTAATGCTGATTCTTGTGTCTTTGAAGAATGAGCACCACAATCTGGTTGCAAAGTTGCATCTATGCCACTTTTTATTTATACTGAACAGCTTTTAAAAATACAGAATAAAATAGCTTTTATCTACTATTATTCACAACATCTGGTCCAAATATTACATATTTCTTAAATATTTCAACGTTTAATAAAGCAATTGTTAGGGGGGGGAACCCAACTAAACACAACAAAATCCATAAAAATCTCAATAAAAGAATTACACATCTCAAAGAAAAAACCCAACTTGGTATGTAACATGAGATTGTGTAGCCAAAGTCATTCACAAAAAACTCATGGAAAAAAAATGAAGGATTATTTATTCCCACTGTCTAAAAAACAGTCAAGATTTTGTTACATCAAAAGTTATGAACAGACCATAAAAAGAAAAAAAGAAATGCACTATAGTTTTTATCGGCAGCAAGATGATTCACTTGGAAAGGTGTCAGACAATACACAAGGTAATTCTCTGCTATCAAGTATGTACGGATGACTAATCACAGCCACAATTAAATCATAACTAGACAGGAATGTTGTGGATGTTGCAGAAGGCGAGTTCTCAATACTTAAAAGCAGCCCAGCGCTATAATGGGCAGAAGCAAAATACTGGCCAACAGGTGGCCTCCTCGGGGCACAAATGGCAAAGGAAAGCGGCGCTCCGAGACACGTGCCATCCTTGGTTCGGGCAGGTGGAGCAGTTCGGTGAGCATCTCTAGGGATGCAGCACGCATGCAGAAACGCAAACGCGGGCAGGGATCGCTCCTCGGCATCCTCCCGGCGGAGGCGAAGGGCTGGTCCTGGTGGTTCAAGGCCACTGGAGGAGGAGGGAAGGACTGCTCTGCGGCCTGGCATATGGAGGGGCGAGGCACTGGAATGCAGGCACGTGCCCCGTGGCGGGAAGCTGCTGTCCTCCAGGCAGCGGCTCCTCGCCACCCCGGCCAGCAGGCCTGGCGGCGCGCTGGTGAGCGATGGCAGCTACTCCAGCACCGCCGGAGGGGTCAGGTGGGGGCGGCCATGAGGCCCGCCTGTCAGAGCATCGGGGCACTTGCACATGCAAGACGCTGCGCTGTGGCTGAGCAAAGGCCGGGGAGGGGGCCAGCAGCAGAATGGGGCCAGTGCAAGGTCAGCTGGTGGCCACCAGTGCAAGGCCGGCGGGCACACACTCGGCCGATCGATATCCCGCATGCACTGGGCCGCCTCCTCACGCAGGCGAGAGCCGTGCCGACGAGCGGGGGGTGGCTCCTGGCTCGCCCTTGCTTGGAGCGCTCTGGCACGGAAGCATGAGCTTGCAGGGCACCGGCAGCTCTCGCCTGCCCGTTCCCCAGCCCCAGCCTGGCTGGACGCGCATGCCGCCGGCTCCTGATGGGTCTGGAGCCTGGCACTGATGGGAAGTAGCCCTGAAGTTGCACCACCGGAGTTTCGCACGGCACAGACGACGGAAGCGGTGGGTCTAGTTTGTGCCATCGATGAGAAGGATAGTCGATGTGCTTTGGTCTCGCTGCCGCATCTTACATCAGACGCATCTCTCCTGTCAATTCTCAGCCAGAGCTGGCCGGAATCGTATTTTGGTGACTGGCGGAAAACCCGAGCGGTCCAGTCCCATTTCCACCGGTGCCCCTGCTGCTCCAACGGGGCTCAGTCCACGGACAAAGCGTCCAGAGAAGCCGCGCCGAAATGAGCGGGCGCTGCGCGAGGGCAGCACGTTGCCCGTGCATGTCGCATGGGGCTCACACTGGAGCTCCTGCCCGTGGAGAGACCGCACTGCCCTCCGGGGGGCCGGAAGCAGGCCAGCCCCTGGCGGGGGTCCTGCACTCCACCGCCTGGTCGGACCGGCTTTGCGCTCGGTGTCTTCCGCTGCAAGTGCGAAAGCGACATTGCCAGTACCAGTGTTTTTAGGCGAGAGGAAGTGAAGGACTCCTCTCTGTTTTCGCTAAGGACAGAAGCAAGGGTAAATAAAGTATACACAATTGGTAGCAATTCGTCAATGAAGAAATTCTATCACATGACATTGTCATGACAATCATATATCACTCCCACCCAGGAACCTGTGACCGTCATTATCCTGGGAGGAAATGTTACTTGAGGGTGGCGGATGCTTGTGTGTGTGAGTTCTGTTTTTAACTCGTTAAGTCTATGGAAATAAAATACTGCAATATTCAGGTACAAATTGCCCATATTGAAAGTTAGTATTAAACGGTGTAAAACAAATCGACTGTAAATTTAAAAATTCCTTCCCTGATGCAGCTTATTCTTAATACATTTTGTCTATCAAGGAAAAAATTAACAATTAAATAGAAATTCAAGAAACATTGCTTTATAAGACATTCAAACATCTCTGCCAGCGTACTTAATTTAACCACAACAAAGGTAAGTTCTTGTTTGAAATGCAAAATTGCTCAAATTACTTTGCTTCGAATGAATGTTGATATGTCTCGGATGTGAGAGAGCGGCCAGACATGTCTGCCTCCTTCAACCGCGACCTGTCGGTGCTGTTCCCCAGCCCTCCCATGAGGTCCAGGCTCCAGGCAGCATCGCTTCATTGAAGCGGCAGGAAGGGAGGTGGCCACATGTGAAGGCAGAATCCACAGTTGTGTCTTTGGGTCTTCCAGCCGAGATGCCGCTGGGCATCCAGCAGGGCATCCCAGGGACTTCCGGTTTTCTCCCAGGTCCGTGGGAATGGGGATGGCTGCCTTGTGCGTATGAGGCACAGAATTCAACTCGGGACACGACACAGAACCACTAGAAGTGCACCTGAGGCCGACAACAGCCCTTAACCAGCGAGGCAAGGGAAGTGCCCCATGCGTCCTCTCGCCCGCTAACCGTGTGCTCGCTCCCTCAACTGCTAACGGGGGGCTCCAAGGGAACCTTGGAAGGGGTTTCTTGGCTGCTTTCTCAAACGCACAGGCCCCAGGAAGCGGTCTCAAAGCTTTGGGGTCTCCCCCTCCGAATGGGCTGTGATCTACCAGAAACCCGCCTGCTCAAGCCCTCTTTGGTCTTCGGTTTGACCCGGATCGAGCAGGAGAGCAGCTCCTCCCACTCTCCCTCCCTCCCTCCTCGGCCAGTCTGCGGCTGCAAGCTGGGGCCTTGCCTTGCTGCCGAACAGCAACCGATCCTGGTGGCCAGGCACTTCACAAGCTTTGTCACCTCCTCCCCAAAAACATTTTCTTCACAAGCCCCCCAGGCCCCCCCTCACCCGCGTGCCGGCTCCCTGCCCTCACCACCATGGGGGGAGCATCGGGCATTCCGGATCTTCCCATCCCGCAAGCCAGCAGCTCAGCCCCGAGGCCGTGAACATCATCCCCGCCTCAGTGCAGCGGTCGTGAGGCCCTCTTGCGGCTGCTTGGTCCGATTGGAGGGCTGCGTCTACCTTCCCAAACGCTTGGGTTTTCTGCAGACGGACCCCGCTGGGGGCTGCCAGCAGCATCTTTGGGCGCAGCAAACCCCGGCCAATGGCTCACCCAACAGCTCTCGGCAATCTGCGGGCAAACGGATGCCGCTGATTCCACAGAAAGACTTCAAGCGCGCCAGCGTTTTGGTATTGGTACACGTTTTTAAAAAGGACCTTTCAGGGGAGAGAGAATCTTGCAACGGACAAGTATTTCCCCCAAGCACAGAAGCGAGCCAAGAAGCAAACACTACTTGGAGTCGGGTCTTCTGCACGTCCACTATCTATAACCTACGAAACCTTTCAGTTTCATTTCGTTAGACTTTATAACCGAGCCAGCGTGTTTTCCTCGCCTCCGTCAAGGTACTCGGGAGACGTGCTTCAGAAGCACTGGGCACCATCCCACAGGGCCTTCTGCGGCCTCTCCTGAGGCGAACGGAGAAGTGGGGGTGGGAGGGACGCGGGAGGGATGGCATTCCGGTTCTGCTAAAGAAGCGACTAGCACTTTGGGAGGCGACGCTGATGGTGACCCTTCGGGTACGTTAAATTCTGCCAATATTACGAGCCTGCAACCTTTGCGCCTCTGCGGCGTGTGGAACAAGCTGGCTTGGGCATTCTTAGGACTACAGTCGCCACTCACGAATGGGGATATTCCTTTCCACCCACTTTTTTTCTTTGGTCGTACGTGAAATGTAAGGGGGGCTGCCAGCGTTTTATCGTTTTATGCAGGAGCCCGCCCCCGCCCCCACCCCGCTGAGGTCCGTGGGACTTGCACCCTGGGGAGGGTGCGTGAGAGGGAAGCCGTCCTGGCATATATTACAAGGGCATGGGAAGTCTTGCGTCCTCAAGCGACCGAGTATCAGCCCCGATCTGAGCCTTTTTAAACTGAAGGTGCCTGGCTGGGATTTGGACCGGGTCGGCAAAGTGTGGAAAGTCTTCCAAGCAAAGCTCAGAGAGCGGAAATGATGTGACGGGTGAGAGCCGTGCAAGGAGCAGTGCACATGCGGAGAGCCCTGCCCCTCCCACACCGTCCCGCGTTGGCCCATCGGGACCCTCCAGACCGCCTCGCAGCCTCAGAACCGCAGAGGCTTGCAAGGGCAGCTGCGTGCTCTCCAACAGCCGTACTTTAGGAAATTAACCCTCTACGGCATCTGCCTTAAAAAGTCGTACAAAATGCAAGGAGCACCTGAAGCGCATCCGGACCTTGAGGGAACATGTAATTCCCCTCATGCCTTCCTGACATGCCTTCCCACAGCTGTAAAAAAAAAGCCTTTTGGGCCACATGGGGAAAAAGAAATGAAAAAACCAAACAGCTGTATCTAGAAACTAACTTGCAACAGTATGAACATTAAACAGGGATAAATCCTTATGAATCCATGATGAGTAATAACAACCACGGAAGGTCAGAGCCAAGACTAGTACAGGGAAAGTGCTGAGCGGCTCCTGCAGCGGGCCCCCAATACCCGTTAAACCACCTTGTGGACTGCGAAGCCATGCACAGCGTCTCTCCCATTTCAAAGTGGGTTCTGTGTTCTGTGTGGTAGAGGAGAAAATAAGAAGGCAGCATCAAATGAAGGCCATTGCTGGGACCAGGAGAAGAGTCTGAACACAGATCGGCACAAATCTGGACACAACCCGAGCATTCTGTTCAAAGAATCCACTGAGGACTAGTGAATTTATGCGCTTAATAAATATGGTTATCATGGTGTATCTGCCAACTTGTGGGTACGCCAGACAAGGCGCTGCTTATGCATTCTTACTTCTGTTCAGGGATGCAAAATCAGTTGATAACCCCTCCCACACTGCCCCATCTCCACAGCTGCTGTGCTAAGAAAAATTAAGTGCTCCAGATCAAAGTTGGCTTTGATGGAGCAGAAACGTGTGCAAAGGCTGCAGAGGGCAGCCGCTTCATGACCAGGACTGAGCAGTCTGGAAAGAACTGCCCAATCATTTCTGTCATAATCAGCCAGAAAGCAATAACCAAGCAGCGAGAGGCTTAAGGGAGAGTTTTAAAAATGGAATGTATTTGCCGTAAATGGGAAAGAAACAGCCTCTTTGAGTGTTGGGTTTACATACATGGTATTCACCAGTTTGGGATCTGGATTGAAACTTTCAACAGAACTGCAGTTGTGCCAAAGTCCGGACGAGCAAATCGAACGATCTGAGAAACACACACGAGCACAAACCTTGCTCTCCGCACTGTGTTATCTGGAGAGACGTTATGGATAGCTATCAGCGTCCACAATAGGAAAGCTATTTTTATAATCTTGTCTCGGCTCTGGTTCCAGAACTGAAAATGCAGATATACAATAAAATAAAATAATAAAATAAAATAATAAAATAGCCAGAAACTGCAGGTGTGTCTGTTACTGGCTATTTTACAGTGAGGAGACGGCGGGTTTGGCCGGGGCTATACAGCAGCCTCGGAGTCGTCGCCTGAACTCCTGCAGTCGCTGCTTTTCCTGAAGCCCTTCCATGAGTAGCCCATGAAGGTGGGGCTGACCGGCAAGAAGCTGAAGCATCGGTACTTCTTCACCGTTTCCATGCCGAAAGGCAGGTCATACGTCTCCATGCCATCCGCCGCCTTGCTGCCTTTTCCCACACCTTTCTTCCATTTCCGGATTCCTCTTTCCTCGGGACTTCCTGCATTTACAAGGATGGGAACAAGACTTCAGCAGGTGGACACCAGAGAGCAAAGATTCTTCCAAGTGCACGGCCCAGAGGTGGGGTAGGGGGGTGGCGGATCGGTTGGCCCTGCTCCCCCTTTCTGCCCATTGAGCGGGTTGCCTGGAAAGGGTGCCCACCTGTGTACAGCCACGGACATACAGAGCAGGCACCATCCATCATCCAGGCAGTTATGAAATCATGTAGGCGGAACATGAGATGCAGTGCCATATTTTTTCAAGAAGTACTGTGACCTCACAAGCACACACTAAGTTAGAAGCTGGATCTACTTGTGAGTGCTGCCGTCTAACACTAGGTCTGTGGCCCTCCAGATATTCCGGCCTGCAATCCCAGCATTCCTGACCACAGCCAGTGCTGGGCAGCCCAAGGTATCTCAAGACTACAGGTCGCACAGTCAGCTCTAACCGTTTAGATCTTGAAACTGCCTCTGGATCTGTAGTGTTCTTAATGCAAAGGCCAGGCAGGATTTTTCAAAAGTTGCTGAAAGAAGGCCTATCGTTAAGGAATCCGCAGTTCAATTAATCCCCCTGTATGGCCAATGTCAGGCAGGCAAGTCCCATGTCCAAGCAAGCACAGTCCTGCCTGCGGAAGGGGATCTGGGGGCCTGCTCAGGGCAGCAGGTGGGGAGCAAGCTGGGTGGGCCGTGGAGCAGGAGGGCCGCTGCAAGGGATGGGCGGAAGCACCATAGGGCCCGGTCTCGCGTGGCCTGCACGGGCTCCGGGTTGTGCCCACGTGGCTTAGCGGCTGCGCCAGGGGCCTTCCGTCTCAGGCATGGCAGTGTGTTTAGGAGAGCAAAGAGGGAGGAAAAGGCGGCGTGTCGCGTGACTCACCTGGAATCGTGTTATCTAAAATGAATGCCACGCAGCCCCCCACAAACATGGCGGTGGTAAGAAGAACGTTGAGCACTGGATCGATGCTGGTTATCCCTAGAACAGAAGAGAGAACGCGTTCGGCAAGAAGCTGAAGGACGACCGTAGCAAGACGTGTAATTTTGGGAGCCAGCCTCACACAGGTGGCCTGGCACCCACTCCTGGATTCCGCCGTGATGCCGCTCCTGCGGGAGCCGGCTCAGGTCCTCCCTGCCTGAAGGGCCCGAGTGCTCGTGAGGCTGGCGGCAGCCCCGGTCAGTCTGGCCTGCTCCGAAGGAGCCACGCTTGGCAGCAGAGGGCTCACTCCAGGCCGAGGGCCCGTCCCCAGCAGCTCCCGCCAGCGCTTCCTTGCAAAAGAACGAGGGGCATCCGGAGGACAGGCGGGTGCTTTTGGCTGCCTCGAGGCAACAAAGGTATAACAAAGAGATGAGCAAAGGCTCTCTCTCAAGTCCTAAACAGCTTGTGAAGCAGACTGTGGAACATCTGTATTTTAAAGGTACTTTGGATTAAATCTGGTTGTTGGAAGAAGGGAGTCTGTGCCCCTTGCAAGTGCTGGCAAGCCCGTTAAACTGCAGCTCATTAAGCACGAGGAGCAAACGGAGTCGCTGGCCCACTGACTGGCAACTGCAGACCGTGCTGACCAAGCGCAGGGCAAAGCCTTTCCAAGACGTTTCCACATCAGTTGTGCAAATATGTACCTCAGAACATGCTTCCAAAAATAAGTGGTTTCAGCATGAAAAGGTTTCACATACATTGCAGATTAAGAACAAGCTTCGTACCTGTGTCCAGTGGGTTTTGTCGGAGGTAACTCGGAAGGACCAGTCCAAAGAAGATGGAAAATCCAAGAACAAAAAGGTTCCGGGAAGAATTCAGATCTACGAACTGCAGGTTAGAAAGTCCGACTGCAGTGATCATCCCTGGACAATAAAAGAAGGCAGGTTTTCAGCTTATGCTATGCTATGTGATGTGAAATGCTATACAAAAGACCAATATTCTCCCAAGCACTCTGCTAAAAAGGAAATACAGTGGTACCTCGGCTCACGAATTTAATCCATTCCAGGACTCCGGTCATGAGCCAAGTCAAATTTCTCCATAAGGTTCAATGTTAATAAGGCTAATCTGTTCTGTAACTACTTTTTTTAATCAGAAAAAACTGAAACAAAGTGACAAAGAACAACAAAGTACTGCACCTTACAGTGGAGAAGACTAACCTGGGGGGGGGGGGGGGTTATTGTTTGGAGGGAGAGGCCTCCTCCATGAGGACACTGGGGGGATCTCTTTCAGGGGTCTCCTCTCTCCTTTGTCTCTTAGCTGCAGGGTCAGTTTTGGGGAAAAATCTGCCTAGAGTCACTCGTTTTTTGTATAGTCACTCGGGGGTGGGGAGACGGCCGCGGTCGTGCTGGTTGGGGGCGGTGGCAAGACCACACACACCTTCCCGGCACGAGCGCGACTGCGGCCGTGGCCGTCTCCCCACTCGGGGGCGTGGGGAGATGGCTGCGATCTTGACCGCCACCCAGTGCGGAGCTCGCGGCCCACCTCAAAGTTTTCATGGAATTTTTGTTCACGACCCGATTCGGTCGTGAACCGAGGCGTTCGTGCGCCGAGACACCACTGTATAAGCTCCATCTTTGTAGATGCTAAGAGATAACTTTCTTGAACAATATTTAAATTGAATGTGACAGTCTAAAGGGTCCCGTTTGCCATATGGCTTTGGAAAGGGGTTTTAAGGCTCCGTTGCTCCATCTGTAGAATGGGAGTCCCAGTAAAACCTGCTTTCCGTGTGACATGTGGGCCGAGGCTGCGTGGGCGCCTTCTGTGGAGCAAAGGGAAAGCAACGCGGCGTCTGAATGTTCAAAGTGTTGTAAAATCCTTCTCATCACTGAACAGAGAAGTGAGCGGCACTTTCTGCCCCAAGTGGTTGCGTAGGAGCTCCGCTCTGGCGCAGCAATAAACACAGCTTGCGCCTCCGTTCCACGTGTCCTCGCACGCCAGGCGCCCCGCAGTTGTGCGCTGCACACAAATCCACTGTGCCACTGCGACCACGCAGGCTGCCTCAGTGTTACCTCGAGCACGCAGCCCCTCAGCGCTCAGCTTAGCATCTGAGTCCAGTGGTTCTGAAGGGTCGGGAGGGGGGCATTTTTTGGACTGATGCTTTCACAGGGGGAAGGTCAAGGCCTCTCCTTGCTGGTGCCCGAGTGCAGGACACAGAAGCACCAGTTCAAGCTGCGACAGCCCAGATTCAGGCCGGGCATCAGGAAAAGCTTCCTCGCTGTCAGAGCACCACGGCAGTGGGACCGGCTGCCCGGAGAGGTGGGGGCTCCCCCACACTGGGGACATTCAGAAAGAAACTGGGCAGCCACCTGAGTGGGACGGTGTGTCCTGCAAGAGCAGGGGTGGACTCGATGGCCTCCCTGGCCCCTTCCAGCTCTACTCTTCCAGGATTCCATGAATCCCAAGAGAAGAACTGTGGCCAAAGCCAAGCGAAGGTGACACAGAGCAGCCCATTCAAAAGGGACTTGGATGCGGCGTGGAGGAAGTGAGCAGGCGTTGTACAGTGTGCTCAGCATGGCCTGGCCGGCTCCATCGTGCTCTGAGCTTCAAACCTCCCCCTCCTATTGCTGGATGCCACCCATGTGCACCTTCCGTTCCCTCTGCGGATCCGTATCGGCCACCTGGCCGTAGAAGCCTCCCCACTGAAAAGGGCCGATGAGCCCTTTCGAGGGCTGCTCTCATTCTGGCCAGGCATCTGTGGCAGCTTCAGATCTTTCCCGACTTTACTTGACCTGCCTCTGAGGCTGACCACGTTGCAGGCCGGGGCTGCCCAGATGCTTCGGGGCTCTGGGTAGCAAGTGTGCCCGGGCCCTCGCCGGGTTCCAGCATGAAAGGCTGCTTTGATAAGACAGTTCTGCATTTGCCTCCAGCGGCTCTGGCCTGGTTTAAAATGTTCTCCTCCTCCTCCTCCTCCTGAATGCTGCTCTGGTTCCCTTGATCATGGATTCACTGCCCATTTGTCACTGCAATTCCGGGCCTGGGCCAGGATTCCCCGCTCACAACTTCTCTGGGACGCATGTGCCAGAAGGATCCCAGATAGCATTGGGGTTTAAAAGAAGTGCGAAGACGTTCTGTGGCGGACGAGTGGACAGCTGGGGTAGCGGCAACCTCCCCAGTTTTTAAAAATGAACCCAGAGCTGCTGCATTTCGCAGGAAAGGAAGTCTTTGCCTGCAGCGACATCCTGGCCGTGGGAGCGCAGGCCCCGCCGTCTGGGGACACCTGCTTGCTCAGTGGGGAGGTTGCCTCACTTTGGAGAAGCACACAGATGCGCCGACAGCAGGGGGAGGCTAGAAACGGGCCCGGTCCATGCGCCATGTGAACCGCGCACGGAAGGGGCTGAAGCCCCTCAAACCGGAAAGCAACAGGCATGGCGCGCTTGGAACCGGCGCTGCCAGGGGGCGGCATGAGGATTCGGAGAGCGCTGCCCCCAGGCAAGGGCTTCGGCCATGTCGGGATGTGCCCCGGGAGAAAGTGGGTAGCAGGCACCATTTGGCACGCGTCCCTAGCAGTCAAGATGGGAGAGAAAGTGCGATACCGAAGAGGGTACAGAAAAGAGCTCCAAGCACCGGATCAGGAAGCGATGCGAACAGCGCACTGAACTTGCCAACCATTCCAAGCAGCAGCATGAATGCCGCCCCATACTGAATAACTCGTCGACTTCCAACCTGCAAAACACACAGAGGCGGAAGTCAAGTTCAGGGATATTCCAGCAGGTCAAGCTGCTAGTAACCAACTGAGACTTCCATTTGAAACAGGGTTGTAAAGTCGAGTTCAAAACCGGGCTTTGAAGTTTGGAATATTGAAAATGTATGCTCTGGGAAGGCAGACTTTTCCTGCGTGTTATCCATCTATCCAATGTAATGTTCCACTTCTCCCACTTATTCCCTACTGAAAGTATTTGAAGAGACTCCTTGCTGCCCCCCACAAAAGAGCAAGTAGTTGGTGGGGGAGGCTCTGGAGGAGACAAACACACGAAGAGACCGGGCAGTTCTGCTGACATCTAAGCCACCTTGGCCAACTTTGCTCCCTCCTATTTTGGTGGGAACTGGCTGATATTCTCAGTACCTTCCTTGCTTCGGAAGCATGAGACTTTGGGACTTTCATACAAAAAGGTTCTCAAGGCTGGTTCAAATGCCCACAGTTATCATATGATTATTCAGGCTGGGTGAAACTTAGATCTGCTGTCATGTGGTCCCAGGACTAAGCAGAGGCAAGCTGATAAAGTGATTAACCTGGCATTATGGGAAGACAGTTGAAAAGATTATTCTCACAGCAGAGTTGCATAACAGAATGCAGCGCTTGCCCAAGGCAACTCTGCTCTGAAGAGCGTAAATGAATTAAAGGATGCTTTATTCGAAACAAAGGTTCTCAGGGGAAGCAAAGTAAAGTTTGTCCCACCAGCTCCACACACGAGCAGCAGCGTTCATTCATGTGACAAGCACGGTCCACTTGAGCCGAGCCACACTCTGCCTGTGGGCGAATGTCTCTTGCCCCATTCGCTCCGACTGCCGCGGAAAATTAAGTACCAAGCAGGCTGCCCTGGGAGAACATGGCCGAAGAAAGCTTCCGAGATCAAAACATGCCTTCCTCAAATTGCTTTTCATTTCCATTTTATGAGCTGCAGTCCCACAAACAAGCCTTCTTCTGCAAAAACCACCTGAGCCTTATTTGCCCCATATTATCAGTCCTTTGCTCAGATTATTGTTCCATCCAGTGGATAGTAACTTCTTGATAAGTTGCACAATGGGTCTCTAGACATCTGCACGAGCCCAGCTAAGTGAAGATGGCCAACGAGACGTGGGGGCTTTGGAATACCGTGCTCAGGCGGAGAAACTCCCTCCGCAAATTTAGGAGTGGCAGCGACATGTTACATGAGGTGCTGTTGGTTACGTCCACAGGTAACTTGATCTAGAAGGCTCCTCTGCCCGCCTCACACAAAACATCGGCGCCCCCTCAGCCCGCCAATGCACCTCCTTAGAAGTAAAGAATAGCATCCAGTGGAGCCCACTGGACTCGCACAACTTCTCTGTCTTTGTTTGCCAGTAAACAAACCTGGTAAAATGAGGGTGCCCATTTGTGTACAGGAAATAATTGGATAAATACAACCGTTATTCCTAATATTATTTTTAAAGGAAAGAAGCATCCCAACACCTTTCTATTCCAAATGGCGCAGGACTGCCGAGATCTGAGTTGCACGTTGCCAAGATGGGAGGCGTTTCCCTTTGGTGGCCTTTTTGCTCTTCCCTGTTTTGCAAAGTTAAACAGTCCAAGAGCTTTGGGATCCTGACGGGTGCAAATCCGAGCCCACACACACCTCCGAATGTCCCTTTGCTGAATGCAGAATCAGGCCATGGAACCAGAGGTTGCCAAAGCTCAGCCATCCTTCCACGCACTTGAGCAAATTTCCCTTTTGCAACACTCAAAGAGAAGCATCCAGGAGGGGGCGCTGCTTCCCAATGCAAAGATAAGACGCAATGGAGCGCCAAGGAGGCATGACTGAGAGGCTTCTGATTTGCCCCGCCTGGATGGGCAGGTGAAAACAGGCCCAGAGAGAGGCTGAGCGAGGGCAAGAGGGAGCACTATGCCTGGGACCGGGGCACCCCAGGGTCAAAGACAGAGGTTGGGCCCCCATCCTGCATGCTTTGGCTCTAAGATATTCCAAGCCCCAAAAGGTGCAGTTTCATCTGCAAAAAAAATTGAACAACTGATCCCACTTAAAATAAGCAGGAATAACCATCATTCCATAGTCACATTTGCCAATGGTAGATGCAGACTTCACTCCTAAATTCAAACACTGAATGAAACAATTCATCATCTTACTGATCTTTAATTTCTCTGGCTGGAAGAACAAAGGCTGACTAATCAGCAGTCATTTAAATATATAAGCCAAAGGCTAAAGTCATGTCAGGGAATAAATTTTTCAGGTTTTTTCATAGGAATGAGAATCAATTCGTTCATTAAACACACGCAGGAGGAGATCTCACTCCTGAAAAATTGAACAGTTCTAGTCTGAATAGATCTAGTACCTTTGTAATCCCCAAGACTCCAATGTTAGGACTGGAAGAAGTAGACCCATTCCCAGTGCCAAACACGCCGTCCAATACACAGGAAAGACCTTCAATGAAAATGCCCCTGAAATTAAACAACAGCATTGAGATGAAGCTGTGCAGCAAGCCAGAAAGAAGCGGAAGCAAGCAGCTCAGGCGAGCTAAAGCGTTTGTGTGCACTCAAGCAGCATTGGAAGACTAAGCACTGAGAGTCATGCGGTCAACTGGTCCGATCTCTTGGGAGTTTGGCTGTCCACTTCACAAACGGATGCTGCAACATTAGACTGCTACGTACATGCCTCACTTACGTCACAGTTGTGAAGGATCTGACCCTGGAACTCTATCCAGCCAGACTGAAAGATCCACAAGAGGTTGAAAAAAACAGGACGGCAACAAAGGCGGCATTCTCCACAGGGCTTACCTGTTGATTGCATGGATCGGCGGCGGCGGCGCACAAGATAACCGTGCGCAGGCATAGTAATCCCCGATCGATTCGATGATGCTCGCAACCACAGCACTGAGCATTCCAATCACGCCCGCGGCCGAAATGGTGGGCAGTCCCCACTGAACTGGGAAGGCAAAGAGAAGGACACCTTTCTTATTCCACTGCGGCACACGGCCTGCCTTGGTGTGTCACGTCCCCTGTGATCACAGGCTGCCCGGTCCTTGGGACAGGGGCTGCGACGGTACTGGCTCTTTGCTACACAACTTTTCCCGGTTGTTTGGCTGCACAATAAATCAGGGGAAACTAATCATCACTTCAGATAGCAACACCTGGACGTGAGAGTACCAGGAGGTGTGGAGCATGTGCTTCTGACAACCTGGACACTTTTCTCCTTTCCTTCTGGTGGGTAAGTTGGGCCAGACTGTGTGTGCAGTAGATTTGCTCTTTGGGTCACCTTTAGCTTGTTGTTGTTGTTAGTCATGAAGTCATGACTGACCCATCACGACCCCATGGACAACATTCCTCCAGGCCTTCCTGTCCTCCACCATCCCCCAGAGTCCACTCAAGCTCACACCAATTGCTTCAGTGACGCCATCCAGCCACCTCATTCTCTGCCGTCCCCTCCTTCTTTAGCCATTTATTGTTCCCAGCATTAGGCTCTTCGCCAGAGAGTCCTTCCTTCTAATTAGGTGGCCAAAGTGTTTGAGTTTCATCTTCAGCATTTGGCCTTCTAAAGAGCAGTCAGGGTTGATCTCCTCTAGGACTGACTGGCCTGATCGCCTTGCGGTCCAAGGGACTTGCAGGAGTCTCCTCCAGCACCACAATTCAAAGGCCCCAATCCTTCGGCGCTCAGCCTTCCTTATGGTCCAGCTTTCACAGCCATACATTGCAACTGGGAAAACCGTAGCCTTGACTATACGCAGTTTTGTCGGCAGGGTGATGTCTCTGATTTTTAGTATGCTGTCTAGATTTGCCATAGCTTTCCTCCCCAGGAGCAAGTGTCTTTTAATTTCTTGGCTACAATCCTTGTCTGCGGTGATCTTGGAGCCCAGGAAAATAAAATCTGTCACTACCTCCATTTCTTCCCCATCTCTTTGCCAGGAAGTGAGAGGACCGGATGCCATGAGCTTAGTTTTCTTAACGTTGAGTTTCAAGCCAACTTTTGCGCTCTCCTCCTTCACCCGCATCAAGGAGGCACTTTAATTCCTCTTCACTTTCTGCCATGAGAGTGGTATCATCTGCATATCTGAGGTTGTTGATATTTCTCCCAGCAATCTTAATTCCAACTGATTCATCTAGGCCTGCCCTTCTCACAATGTGCTCTACATATAAGTTAAATAGGCAGGGCGACAGTTTACAGCCTTGCCAAATTCCTTTCTCAATTTTGAACCAATCAGTGGTTCCGTGTCCAGTTCTCACTGCTGCTTCTTGACCCGCATACAGGTTTCTCAAGAGACAAATAAGATGGTCTGGTGCTCCCATCTCTTTAAGAACTTGCCACAATTTGTTGTGATCCGCACAAAGGCTTTAGCATAGTCAATGAAGCAGAAGTAGATGTTTTTCCGGAACTCTCTAGCTTTCTCCATGATCCAGCGCATGTTGGCAATTTGATCTCTAGTTCCTCTCCCTCTTCGAAATCCTGCCTGTACTGCTGGTAGTTCTCGGTCCACATACTGCTGGAGCCTAGCTTGTAGGATTTTGAGCATCACTTTGCTCGCATGTGAAATGAGTGCAATGGTGCTGTAGTTTAGCTTAGCTTAGGCCAATACCTTAGAGGCAAAAGTTAACGCGGCCACCACCCTCCCCCAGGAACACGACTAACAAGACATTCAAGTGACAAGTTTTTTCCTGCTTCACAGCATCTCTCATACCCGCAGCTTAACCCACACCCCCACTAAGCCGACACGGGTGCAGCCACCTTGTTTATCTATTTTCCGACTTATATTCTACATTTAAGTAGTCCAGGGATTCGATTACAAAATGTTCACACTCTGTAAGAGCACCTGCCTGCTGGCGTCTGTGCCGTCTCCAACTCTCCGCGGTCTCAAGCAGCAATCTGGCCTCTCCCTCTTTGACTGGACATGCACCGGACGGAACCTGCAACCGGCGCGCACATGCCTGCGCGTACGGGCCGGACGTGCATGCAAGTTTCTCTCCATGTGCCATGGGCCCTTCCCAGTTATTAAATCACTGGACACCTGCCAGCAAAAGGCCTGTGCTGAAACGGCGTTGTGGCCGAGCCTGAGCCACACCTGGCCTTATTTCACCTCCGCAAGGAGTGAAAGCAGCAGCGAGACTGAATCCAAACCGTTTCTGTGACAGCTGCAAGCCAGCAGGGAAGAGGCGCTCTCCTGCTTCTGCAAAGCGCAGGGACAGAGGAGTGAATGCGAGCCTGGATTGCAGGCGAGGCTCCCGGGAGACCCTAAATGAGGCACACTTACATGGGTAAGGGACTTTGAACCAAGGAGCCACCAGAAGAACGCCCTGCCTTGCGTCCGTCCGTGCGTAGAAGCCGTGCTTGGTGCTATCCCGCGGAAAGACGTCTGTCACCGTGAAGACGAAGCACAGCATCCACGAGACCAGGATGGCCAAGATAATCTGCAGCAGAGGACAGAGGGAGATCTGGGACATGGCAGCAAGGAAGCAGTGACCAGCCGTGACCACAGAGGTACTCCTCCCGGATGCTACAGCTGGTTTTGGTTTTGCAGTGCAGAAAAGTAGGATCAGCTGTCCTTAAAAATGGATGAAAGAAAGAACTTGCTGAGATCTCCCCAACTCGAATGGGGTCCTGCTTGCAGTTTCCCAAGGCTGGGGAGTCCTGAACCTTTTCCCATTCTGCAGCTAGTCAAGGGCAGGACCCTCCCTCCCTCCCTCCTCTTCCTGTCCGTCTGTCTGTCTGTCCGTCCGTCTTTCCTTCCTTCACATGCACAGAAGTGCAGGGGATTGCTAGTCCTCCCTTTAATTTAGTAGCACTGCACTGAATTGTTTATACTGAGCGACTCGGGGAATCCCAGTGGAAATTTTACAAAAAGCTGCAGTATCTGTAGAGATCCTAAATGTGTGGGTTCCCTCAACTGACCGTGAGGGAACTGAGAAATGGGATCCATGATTCTTGGGTATGGAGGTTCTGTTCAGCTATCAGAACTAATCGCTACACAGAAAAATGGTCACAGTGTTTAATATTTCAAAAAACCATCTCAGTGGCCAGCCATCTCGTTTGTTCTGAGGCGACTACCGAAAATATGCCCCATATCACCTTGGTTTTCCACACATGTATCACTCTTTCCACATAATTCAGAGCTTGTAACTTCAAATCATGCATCCTCTTAGTAGTCTTTTCTCCAGTGAAGAATCAGAAACTTGTGCTTTTTATCACAGGGGAGACACCCCCAAATTCATTACTAATTTTTTTGTCCTTTCTTGCATCTTTTTCCACTCAATTGCTCTCTTTTTTAATGTAGGAAGGCAGAACTGTACTGTGAACATATCGTCCAACTTCGGGGTCATTCTTATGTCATTTTCATTCCACTTTCTCAACAGGCCCTAGTGCCAAATCTGCTTTTGTGCCGCCAAGGCTCAAGAACACTGCAGCAGAGATCTGAGCAGGTGCGCGGCTGAACGAGACGAAGCCTCTTTAGGCCAAAGCTCGGAAACCAGAAAGACAGTTCACACTCAAAGCTCACCCATCACTTTGGCCTCAGTGTTGATTCTTGGAATATGGCTGCAGAGGAATCAGTGACAACCTCTTATAAAGGTGGGCACAAGACACAGGTAACCAGTAGGAACAACTGCAAAAGCAAAGCCAGTGCTTTGCAGGGGAGCTCAGCTGATTACTTACAGGAAACATTTTAAAAAGCTGCAACCGGTACGCAGTCCATCCCTTCTTGGATTTGTAGATCGGTAAAGGGAATTTGACGTTTCGGGCATATTGAGAAAACAGCAGCACTAGGAAAATGGTCCTGGAGAAAGGGAGAGGGTGGAAAAGGGACAGAAAAGTTAATATAACCCCTTCACTAATTTAATAGGTACTCATCAGTAGAAATAACTGTGATTTCTAGCTCTTATTCTGTATTTATGTATTTCAAGCTGTAGTAGTAACTGAAGGTAAATACTAGCATAACAAAAGAGCATTTGTTTTTACAGTCAGAGAAAATAAGAAATTGAACAACAGTCAGAACTGAACTGCTGTTGTTGTGATGTGCCATCAAGTCATCTCCAACTTCGGACAAGAAACCTAGAAACATAGCGAGTCAGAAGGGGCCTCCTGGGCCACCTAGTCTGACCTCCGGCTCCAGCCGGCTCCACTCACGACATGCCCACCATGCGCACGTCTAGCCTATCCTTGATCACCCTCTCTGATGGGGCCTCAACCACCTCCCGTAGAAGACCATCCCACACCCTCGGGGTCCTGACTGTCAGGAAGTGCTGGGTTCCCTGAGCTTTGCTCCGTTGGGAGTGCATCCTGTCTTCCTCCGCAGGGGAGAACAGGTCTCTGCCCCCCTCCGTGTGACACCCCCTCACATCCCTGTATGTCGCCATCAGATCCCCTCTGAGTCTCCTCTTCTCCAGGCTGAAGAGGCCCAGTTCCCTCAGTCTCGCCTCATGCGGCTTCCCCTGCAAACCGGCCACCAACCCTGTGGCCCTACGCTGCACTGACTCCAACCTGGCTGTATCCTTCCTGTAATGAGGGGCCCAAAACTGAACACAATACTCCAGCAGCGGGCGCACCAGACTCGTATAGAGTGGTAGTAACACCTCTCCCGATGTAGAAGCCACACTTCTGGCTATGCAGCCAAGGGTGGCGTTCGCCCTCTTGACCACCGCATCACACGGCTGGCTCATGTTCAGCCTGCAGTCAACCAGCACCCCAAGGTCCCTTTCACAAGGGCTGCTCTCCAGCCACTTGTCCCCTGACCTGTACTTGTGACACCCATTCCTATGCCCCAAGGGCAAGACCTTGCACTTATCCACACTGAACGCCTTCCTGTTGTCTCCTGCCCACTTCCATCGTCTGTCCAGGTCCTTTTGGATCTGGAGTACCTGCTCCTCAGTTGTGGCCACGGCCCCGGTTTTAGTCTCGCCTGCGAATTTGGTCCGCAGACTGTTCCCCCTCCTTCCATGTCGCTGGTGAAATCCATGTCACAAGCCTCTTCATCTCCAAAGTGTCCTGCCCACATCCGTCCTCAGCTCTTCCAAACCCATCTGTGGCTTCCCTAATGGAGTCAGTCTGCCTCATATCTGGCCTTCTTCCTCTTCTTCTGCCTTTGACTTTGCTTAGCATGATTGTCTTCTCCAAGGAGTTCTGCCTTCTCATGATGGGCCAAATTAGGGCAGTCTCAGCTTTGCCATGTTTGCTGCTAGCAAAAGCTCTGGCTGGATTTCATAGAATCACAGCAGAGTTGGAAGGGGCCAGGAAGGCCATTCGGTCCACCCCCTGCTGCAGCAGGGCACCCAGTCACCCCACCCCACCCAGAGGGCTGCCCAGTTTCCCCTTGAATGTCTCCAGTGTGGGGGAGCCCCCACCTCTCCAGGCAGCCGGTCCCACTGCCGTGGTGCTCTGACAGCGAGGAAGCTTTTCCTGATGCCCAGCCTGAATCTGGGCTGTTGCAGCTTGAACTGATTCTTCCGTGTCGTGCACTCGGGCACCAGCGAGAAAATGTCTTGACCCTCCTCTTTGTGGCGGCCTTTGAGGTGCTTCTAGAGGGATACCACGCCCCCCACCCCCAGTCTTCCCTTCTCAAGGCTGAACGTGCCTGGTTTTCCCAGTCTCTCCTCACAGGGCAGTGTTTCCAAACCCTGGATCATTTTGGTTGCCCTCCGCTGGACCCTTTCTAATCTACCTGCATCTTTCTGACATCTTGGTGCCCAGAACTGGACACGATATTCCAGGTGAGGTCTGACTAGTGAGGAGTATAGAAGAACTACTACTTCTCATGTGGGACCCACTTGATTGCTATTCTGGTACATTTTCTAAATGTGCTAAAAATGTTGCTGGCTGCCACAAGGCGACTCTGGCAGAAGAAATCTGACAAAGTTCCTCTCTCCTGCATTATGGAAAAAGCAGGTCTGGGGACAACCTCTGGAAGGCACGCACCCAGATGCTGCTTATTCTCCCTGGTGTTCGGGGCTATATGTCTATTTTCATCATTGGCTTCTTCAAATACTTGAAAAGCCACCTCACTATTTTATTTTTCCAGAAGTAAGAAGTCAGAAGGTCTGGCTCACTCACTTGGTAGGTTTACACTCGCTTCCGGATCTGCCTGCCCCAGCCCATGGTGACGAACACACTCATTCGTGTGCTCACACGGTCAAGTGGTCAGTTTCTGCATGCCTCGGCCGCCAGACGCACGTACTTACAGCATGGCTATGCCCCAGTGCTTCCCAGCTCTTTCCCCGGCGGCCTGGAAGCCAGACAGCCCAATGAGGGCCACCGTTGGGGTAATCGTCAGCGGCCCAATGTATCTGAGTAGCGCTCCAGGCAGGCCCAGGAACCCAATCACCACTTCTATCAGAGATGACATGATAATAGCGCCCTGGATCTGGACATGGGGAAAAGAGAGAGCGCAGTTAGCTTGCCCTGGAGTGGAGGCGTGCTGCGCATGTGCAGGGTGTTTGGAATGGATTATGAACTGCGAGTCAACGATTTCAGTGACTGGAACTGGGCGATGGCAGTGTTATTCCACGGAGTGCTTAAGCAGTAAGTTTCCCAAGCGAAAGCGAATCTGAAGTCCAGAAGGACAAGCCAAGCTGCCAGCAGGAGGCAGTTCGACAGAGAGGAGACCGACCTCGTTCACCGTCTCTTACTGCTTAAGCACGTTGCGTCGGTATTAACACACAACAGGGTCATTAGACCAGGCTGGCCGTTGTGTCAATAGCACATCACATGGTCATACAGGAAGTCCTGGGTTCCAAGCTAACCTTTCGAGTTCTCAGATCGAACCGGCCAGGGCTGCTGGTGCCACGGAGGCGATGGTCTTAGCTCCTAGGGGCAGAGGGTATGATGCATTTGGTCACATGTGCTCTTTAGAAGCTGGCACAGAGCAGCGCAGTGGTCCCAGGAGACTCTCAGCCCCCCCTTGGCCGCAGGCCTCTTGGCAGGATGGAGCTATGGTTTGAAGACGGGGAAGAGAGAGGGGACGTTTTAAGTTGAGGAACAACCGGCAGCCCAAAGCAATGGGATGGAAGAAAAGTCCCATGACACGCGTGTGAACTGGGGAGCACGCTAGGTTTCCTCTCCTCAAAAAAGGACATTCATCCCAGAGGGTTAAGGACAGAGAACACTTCCACCTCAGAAGGGAAGGAGACACGGAGCAGCAAAAGTGACATGTAGTTCCTGACCGGTGGGTACTGGCACCTGGCTTTCCAGAGGACAACTACAGTGAGGCCAAGCGCCGATTCTGCTCCTGGTGAAGCAGGTGACTGAGTGCACTGCCAAGTAGGACTGCGAGCCGCTAGTTATTTTACTGGCGAGAAGCTCTTGGTGCAGAACGTCAACTCCCTGACCTGCCAACATCACCTCCCCAAAATGCCACGCACACCCTGAGTTCTGGGGCGCGCACAGCTACGAATGGACGTCTAGGTTACAGACGGTGTTGTGTGCCATATGGCGTGTCCACAGCCACGTGGGAAGGGCAGTATTGCTAACCATTCAGAAGTCGTCTGCATGAGGCGCGTCCCCTGCAAGGAGAACACGGCGCTGAGCGCATTGTGCAAGTTACCTCTCGGATCCTGGGGTACCAGATATGTTCTGTGTGCAGCAGCTCCGTCGTTGCATTTGTAACCGTTATATCTTGGAAGGGTAAAAAGGAACACTTCTCATTATGGCAAGATAAAGTAATGCACTTTAAGAGACTGAAGAGACTTCCCCTCTCCTAGCACTTCATGTTTCCCGCTTCAGCACGAAACTCGAGGCAGAACAGGCCAAAAGGAGTGGCAAGTCCCAAACTAGGGCAAGAAGGATGGCCCGGCCAAGGTACTCCCAACCTATTCAAACAATCCCCAAAATCCTCCAGGCGAAGAGCCTGCAGAACTTGGGCAGCTTGGTTTGTAGCTCAATACCCAACTCACGATGCGGCTGAATTCCAAGTACAGAGGATGGCGAGCAGGGGACTGGGTGGCAGCGACTGAAAATGCCGGCACGGGGAACGCTTCCGTCCACGAGGACCACCCTGTACCTTCCCCAGCGCTTAACCTCGCCTCTCCTTCCACCGAACTCTTGGGCCATCCTATTCTGGGTGGGCAGGACTGACCTGAGCTCCTGTGCTGCTCTCTGGCAAGCTTTTCTCCATGCTTCTTCCCTCGAGGCACCACACCCAGCAGCTACGCCCGTGCAAGAGGCTCCCTTTACTGCCCTCCTGGGCCAACCGCCAATGCCACACTAAATGATGGCGTGAGTAAGCCCACTGGCACCCAAGGCACAGGGCTACCTAAATGCCGTGTGGGAATGCTTTCATAGCAGAGATACCGTGACTTTCACATATTCTGTCTCCAAATTTGTCGCCTATTAATTTGGCTGGCTAGACTGTAATAACAGCTTCTGTCTGACGCTGCACAAAGGTTAGAAATGGTCAATAAAAACAGAACAAGGGTTCTTTTCATAAACAAAATGTTCTACATTTGTGGCTCCTGAATAATTTCCATTTATCTAGACAAAGGGGTACTTCCCCCACACAGGAAGAAAGGCAATCTGTCCTAATCTATTCTTAATCTATTGAGAGCTGCAATTAGTCTATTTGCCATAAAATAAATCAATTGCTTGCTCAGTGGAATCTTATGCCAGTATGCACTGAGCGTCCATAGAAATGGCACAGAACCAATTATGTGACCCTCATGTCAGTATTCATTTTAAAAGGTTTCACATTTGCTTTGAATCTGAAAGCTTTTTATTGTTACACATTTGGGACGGAGGGTTTTGAGAACAGCAAAGCAACTAGGATTATTCTGCGTAAAATGCCATCATGTGCCTCCTGAAATTGGCCGGGGAAACGAACCTGACACCCTCCCTGCTTGTTAGTATCTCTGCATCAGAAACTTGCTCAACATGCAAACCTTTCCTGCAGCTGCAGAGACAAGAGGGGTTTTCTTTCTGGAACGGTGCACTTATAAAAAGAGGCATTCCTGTTCAACTGTGCTTACTTGATACAAGAAGCGGTCCTTCTAAAAAGAGACTGGGTGTTTTACAGGTCACATATTAACATATTTTTAGCTACTGGTTGGTGGACGGTTGGCTCCCAAGCTCTCTTGGAATCCATGAACAAGCCTTGGGTTGCCAGGTGGTCTGGAAAGCACCCCTTCCCCTGGTTCAGACTGCCTGGCAGCCCTCGCTGGGTGTGGGCCCTGATGAAAGCCAAGCGCCTTGCAACCAGGGCCTGCCGGGTGGAGAACCGAAAACCCCGGGACCTCTCCTCCTTCCCTGATCGGGCAAGCCCAGCTGTGGGGAGGGGGGCTAGTTGGACGGTGGGTCCCGGGGCAGGCAGGGTACATGTGACTTCCAAACTGCACAAGAATCCTGGTCCCTGTGGATTAAATAGCCCAGTGCAAGCTACAGCCGTCTATTGTTTTGTACAAGGCTGCTGCTAAATGGTATTATACAGGTATCACCTGCATATCACCCAGTGTAAGGAGAGGAAGGTGACCAAGTATGTAAGAATAAAATGGCGCCTCAGCTCAACCACGAGCCGCTACAGCTGACCTTGGGCAGGCATCTCCGCCATCTTCTCCCACAGCAAAATGAGAATACAGCTTTTCCCAGAGGACAGTTGCCCGAAGAGCAAGGTCAGGATGCATGTGCACTTTGCCCGAATTACAAGCCAGCATCCAAAGAGCAGTGTCCATATCATCTTCTTTGATATTTGTTTGGGCTTTGCTGGGGACCTGGGAGCGTTACAATTCCAAGGGTGATTCAAGCACTGAGTCACTGAGTCCTGGCTTCGTAAATCCTGGGCCCTACTTGTTCAAAGGTGCGAATGATCTCCAAACACACCCTCTGCTGCTTTATGCTTATTTGCCCTCCCTCTGCCCCCCACATACATATTTGCTTCTGTTCTAGAGAGACAAATAGGTCTGTCAAGTTCCAATTACATAAAACTGTGCAAATAAATTCAAGGTATTGAAGCTGACAGACAACACACGTTGTGCACTTTCTGCAACATGTTGGATAAATTGGACAAAAATAATCAAGGTCTGGTTTTCAGAACTGAAATTGCAGATTGTGGGTATTTTGCAGGATAAACACCACAACAGTTCCTTAAATAAAATGATCAAACTAATACTGAATGAGAGCAGCTTCCAGCTTTCATTCTGCACTCACTGAAGGAGTCTGGAGGAATGAACCCGGGCTCACCTGTGTCATTGCATTTCCATTTATCCAAGGAGAGAATCGCTTTTGCAGGAGCCAAGAATGCAAAAGCGCTGGCCTGAAACAAAGGTAACCTGAGGGAAGCAGAGAGAAAAAAGACGTCAGCAGCTCGACCTGTTGTGACAACGCCATCACTTGCCCGGCACTCTTCCTCAAGTCCCAGCGGAGACCCCTCTGCCTCCTGGATAAGTAGAGTATTCTCCTGACCAGGTGGCCAGGAATGCCGTTGAAAGGGCCAGTGAAAAGAGGGAGGAAAAGGTTCCCAGCCCGACTGATCCATGGATTAGCCTGGTCATTTGGACAAGCCATACTCACAGCCTAATAACTGTATTGCCCCACTGGTAACCCCAGCGAGTCTGATCATACTGGCCAGCCCCTCTAAGAGTGTGCAGCGAAGCTGAATGAGCAAAACCCGCAGGGCTGCTTTGATGCAAACCATGCTGAAAGCTTTCTTGGCACAAACGCCTTGTTACTTTCTTCAGGAACAGAGGATCTCAGTTTGGAGGCGTAATTCAAGCAGTGCCTTCAATCCAGAGAAACCCTAAATGTTTAGGCTCCAGACAGCTTACAGAGGCATTCTGGGGCGGCTTCCACGCATTCTCTCCTCCTCTCACAGGGCACTGCTTCCCGGCAGCACGTGATCGGCCACAGCGGGAAATGGGACGCCAGGCTCGGTCCCTGGTCGGAGCCGGTTTAGCTCTCCCAATGCTCACGGTCTCTGGACCAGGAGCTCTCCTTGGCACACCTGAAAAGGCACTCAGTAGCTGCCCACGCAGCGCGGAGAAGACGCAAATGTACCAAAACATGACCGGATGCACAGCGTTGTGCTGGCAGCTCTTCTTTCGAGCTGCACCCCACCCAGACCCTTGGTCACGACAGATGAAACATCCACTCCTCCCAGCTCGCCCGGCACAGTTTTCTTTCACCTCCAAATGTCGAGGGGCCTGTTACAGGGATGCGCCACTTCAGAGCACAACACAACATGGTCCTGACGGCATCCAGGTCTTGCTGCAACACAGTGATCTCTGCAATGTGCACTATACAAACTACCCTGCCAGGAGATCACGATTTGTGCAGACGATCCAAACAAGTGCGCAGGAGAGGAAAGCCGACACGCGAGCTCTGGAGGAGCAGCTTGCAACAGGGCCGTCGGTCTCCGTCGCACAGGAAGAGCCTCTCCTGTTCGGAGCACGAACAAACGATAAAATCAGAGCGCTAATGCGAGCGCAGCGCTTGAAGCTGAGCCAAAGGCCTGGGTTTCTGCTGGCCAGACTGTGCCCCAAGCAGCTCTCCTCTCCTCTCCTCTCCTCTCCTCTCCTCTCCTCTCCTCTCCTCTCTCCCTTTCAAAAGCCCCTGGCAAAAGGAATGCCATTAAATGCATTCTCTAAAAGTGCAATCCCCGAATCTTTCAAAATGATTTCCAGATCGGCATTTTCTTCCCTGTGGGGAAAAACACATGCACTTGCCCATGTTTAAATGCATATAAATTAAATTTAGATTAGTGCATGGACTCACTATCTGTAATGATCAAGGCGAATACTCACTGAATATTATATTCGATTACTATAATTATTATACATATAATATTATTATATTGAATATAATATTGAATATAGTATTCAAGGCCTGTTTTTTCTATGGCTGGTATATTTTTTTACGACTGCTAGGAAAATGGGAATTCTTTTCCCCCTAAAAAGGTGAGTCACACTAACCTCTAGGAAACTTTCACAACACTCTGGCATTCTCCAGCCAACAGTGTGCCAATTTGCAGGAACAAAAGTAGGTTCAAAGGATATTTTACTACTGATCAAAAAGATGCTCACACACACAAGGACCCAGATTTGCATAATGTAGTTATTTAAGATGTCTGCATAGCTGCCTTGCCAGCAAAAGGCCCCCTTCACAGCCACCTCGGGTTGCTCCCAAGAGGAACAAAGGTGCAATACAAATGCAATATAATGAGGAGCAGAAAGAGAAAATAATCAAGTCAGTGCTGACTTATTACTACAAAATACTAAAAAATGAGGCACTATGTGTGGCACAAGGGCTCAAAGAGAAAAACTGTGGGAGAATTAAAGGATCTCTTTGCATGTCAAGGCAGGAAATTGTGGGTTAATTAACCCATAATATGCTGCAGGATATGCTGAGTGTGTTGAACAGCTGTTCTGAGTCCACCCCAAGTCCCTGGCACATGTCACAGGAAACCCTGAATTCACCCACCATTTCCCATGTCATGTGCGGACCGAGTCCAAGGGAGAGAGCACTGCCAACCCTTGGTCCATCTGCCGATGACCTTTGAATGCGCTTCTGCATGAGTTGAGTTGGCTTATTTAGCAAGAGCAAACAATATAATTTCAGCATGGATTTCAGCTCGCCGGAATGCAATTTATCATAGCATAATTCCCTGTATATATTGTGCAAGAGCTGTAGGACTTTGGATTTATGACGACAGTTACTTAGAAACATAGAAACAGAGAGAGTCAGAAGGGGCCTCCTGGGCCATCTAGGCTGACCCCCAGCTCCAGCTGGCTGTGATCATGACATGCCCACCATGTACATGTCCAGCCTGTCCTTGAACGCCCTCACCAATGGGGCCCCAACGACCTCTCATGGAAGCCCATTCCACACCCTCGGGGTCCCGACTGTCAGGAAGTGCTTCCTGGCATCCAAATGGAACCTGGGTTCCCTGAGCTTTGCTCTGTGGGAGCGCATCCTGCCTTCCTCTGCAGGGGAGAACAGGTCTCTGCTCACCTCCGTGTGACATCCCCTCACATACCTGTAAGTCGCCAACGGATCCCCTCTGAGTCTCCTCTTCTCCAGGCTGAAGAGACCCAGTTCCCTCAGTCTTGCCTCATACGGCATCCCCTGCAAACTAGCCACCAACCCTGTGGCCCTATGCTGCACTAACCTGGCTATATCCTTTCTGTAATGAGGGGCCCAAAACTGAGCACAATACTCCAGTTGCAGGTACACCAGAGTCGCATAGAGTGGTAGTAATACCTCTCTCGATCTAGAAGACACACTTCTGGCTATGCAACCAAGGGTGGCATTTGCCCTCTTGACCACCGCATCACACGGCTGGCTCATGTTCAGCCTGCAGTCGACCAGCACCCCAAGGTCCCTTTCACAAGTGTTGCTCTCCAGTCACTTGTCCCCTAACCTGTACTTGTGACACCTTTTCCTATGCCCCAAGGGCAAGACCTTGCACTTATCCACACTGAATGCCATCCTGTTGTCCCCTGCCCACTTCCATAGTCTGTCCAGATCCTTTTGGATCTGGAGTACCTGCTCCTCAGTTGTGGCCACTGCCCCGGTTTTAGTATTGTCTGTGAAACTGATCAGCAGACTGTTCACCCCTTCTTCCATGTCATTGATGAAGAGATTAAACAGGATCGGCCCCAGGACAGAGCCCTGGGGGACCCCGCTTGTCACTGGCCGCCATCCTGATGATTCCCCACTAAGGGTTGCCCTCTGCTTTCCATCTGTCAACCATGCCCTAATCCACCGGACAGTGCTTTGGTGTATCCCAAAACTCCTCAGTTTCTCCACCAGGATGCCATGGGGCACTTTGTCAAAGGCCTTGCTGAAATCCAGGTAAACCACATCCACTGCAGCCCCTCCATCCAGCCACCTCAAAACCTTGTCATAGAATTCCACAAGGTTTGTCTGGCAGGACCTGTTTTTGCGGAAGCCGTGTTGTGTGGCTGTCGGCCTCCCTTCCCTATCTAGCATTGCTAGATCTCTTTCTATTATGAGCCTTTCCATTGTTTTTCCTACAATGGACGTAAGGCTAACTGGTCTGTAATTCCCCATGTCCTTTCTACTACCCTTTTTGAAAATTGGGACCACTGATGCCACTCTCCAGTCCTCTGGAACTTCATCCATTCCCCACGAGGCCTCAAAAATAGAGGCCAGCGGGTGTGAGAGAACTCCTGCCAACTCTCTAAGTACTCTCGGGTGTAACCTATCAGGGCCAGGCACCTTTGTAATGTCCAGTGCCCTGAGGAGCCCCTCGACTTCAAGGGGGGTGTCTCTAATCAGTGCCCCTAAGTCCCCAGCCTCATCTAATCTCCTATGCGGATCTCCCCCGTCCTGCTGTGGGGAGAACACAGAGGCAAAATGGTCATTTAGCATCTGTGCCTGTTCCCTCATATCAGTCACTGGATCTCCTTCCTCCTGATTTAGTGGTCCCACCACTTCTCTCCCCTTCCTCTTGCTATTTACATGCTGAAAGAAGCCCTTTTTGTTGCTCTTGATATTCTTGGCAAGTCTCAGCTCGTAATCAGCCCTAGCCATGCAAAGAATCCTTCTGCAACGGGCCTCCTCCTCCCGGTATGCCTTTTTGTCTATTTCCCCCAGTACCCATTTCCTCCAGAGGTTCCTCTTTTGTCTAATCCCTCTAACCACCTCCTTTTGCATCCATGGCGGCGCTCTCCTCCGCCTCCCTGCCTTACTAACTAGAGGTATCATCAAGGCTTGTGCCTCCAAAACCTCCCTTTTGAGTGCCATCCACCCCTCCTCAACTCCCTTGCCTTCCAGTAACCTATCCCAGGAGACTTTCCCCAGTCTGGCCTTCAGTTGGCTCTGTGAAGCTCGACTTCACAGAGCTGCTGTAAAATACAGTAACTTCAAAATGATTTACTTTAATTCTGTGTGCCATCATTGTATTATCCCCACCTCTTTTCCTCTTGCACGCAACCCAAGACAGCTTGCAACTTTAAACTTCCTCTCTGGTTTAGCCTCACAACAACCCTGCAAGGTGGTTAGGCTGACAGTCAGTGAATGGTTAAAAGCAACCTGTGAGCTCCCAGGGAAGCAGACCAGAAACTGGTTTTCAGAATTGAATGGATACTAGACAATGAGAGCAGCTGCAGGTGACTGACTGAAGCCCCCTAGAATGGTGGAATTTGACCTTTCAAACACAAGAAAGTTTCATTTAAAAAGAAAGGGGTGGATGAAGGAAAATAGAGCTTGATCCAGATGTAACATTCCCGATCGCTTAATCACAGCTAGAAGATTCTTAGTACACTCTCTCCCCTCTTACCCATGTCTAATGCTGCACAGGCCTGCCAAGTTTGGAATGACGATTTGAAGGAGATTAACAAGCTTTGGCTATGGGGCATTCCTGGTTGGCATCAACTGTGCTCAAGACTGATTCTGCACAGGGAAAAATAGAAGCGTTCTTGTCCAACTTCTGATTCTGTAAAGATGTTTATGTGTAGTTCTTATGGAATGGTCACTCTCTGCTCAAGGAGGACTTGTTCAAAGTTTAGAATTAATTAGAGGGTAGGGCTGCTCAGAGAGAAAAGCACAGAATAAAAAGCTTCCTTGGCCCATTTGCAAGAAGCAATAAACACCCTTTGCTTCTGGGGAATTCCAGCTGAGTGACTATACTATAGAATTTCATGAAAGAAGAGCAGTACCTTTCTTGGCATTCCAAGAGAAATTAAATGACTAGAATATCTTCTCTTAAAGAAGCAAATGAAGACTAGTTTCTTCTAGCATATCATTGGAAGCAAAACTAGGTCATATCTACTTTAATTTAGGAAACCTGAAAATGTACTGCACACAGTTTGGTGTTACCCCCCCCCCACTCTGCTGCCCCCATCCTAGGAGGGGTCTCTTCAACAGTGTTCACTGACCTGTTTAAACGGGTCTTCTCCACACCCTACGGAGCAGCTGTGTTCCATCTAATATTATGTTCCATGGATAAATATGCTGAATTCTTTGCTTTGGAGGGACGCTTCCAAGGTTTAGCATGACCTGGACGAACTTGAACTAGGGTGCCCCACACTTTTTGGATTTGAGGACTGACCCTTGGGCAAGTGTGGGAGAGCCATTCTTGCATGCCCAAGATCTAAGCGGCCAGTTACTTTTGCCAGCATTTTGAAATGAATTGTGAAGAGTGCTGGCCATGATATGAATAGCCTGGGGCTTGGTGGCAGCGATGTCTTAAAGCAACCTTCCTCCACCTTGTGTCTCTCAGACATGTTTGGACTTCAACACCCAGAATTCCCAGTCAATGGCCCTGCTAGATGGGAATTCTGGGAGCTGGACTCCAAATGTCCCTGCAGGCCAGCAGGTGCGGGTGGGGCGGTCTAAAGAATGACACAAAACAAAAATCTCACCTGCACCCAAAGGTTGTTTGCAACAAAGTTGTGATTCCAACACAGAAGAATATGGTCCCGATCAGCTGACTGGTTGCCCACTGGTCAAATCCAACACACATGGCATCTGCTAGCAAAAAGGGCACTGCTATAGTCCCACTGAAACAGGTCAGGTAATGCTGCAATACGAAGGGTTAATCTTATTTACTGTCAGTTTGTGTTATTATCTTTTATTTATTTATACCATTACCATTTGCCCGAGAGCCCCCTTCTCCTACAATATCCTGCCAGAGTCGAGCACGCGGAAGCGACTGTGCTAAAGCACTTCTAAGCAACCATCCGCACACTTGGATTCATGGATAGCACAGCTGATGCCAGAGCTACATGATCACAGATGAGGATGGGCAAGTCGATACACGTTAAGCCAAGGTAAATGTAAGCAGTTCTCGGAAGGCGAGGCTAAGTGTGCCACACGTTGTCCAGAGTGGCAGGAAGCAACACACAATGTGAGCAGAAGGACTTTCCACCCTTGGGCAAGGAGTGTCTCTGCCATGTCTAAAGGCAAACTTTGCTTCAAGCGACATTGCTTCAAGGATTCAGGAACACCAGAAGGAAATAAACACAACCCACTGTGTTACGCTACCAAAAATCCTTCTTGCAATGCAAATTCTTTTACTCCCTGCTGTGGAGGTGACGGATTTCGGGCGAGGGCCACTGCCCAGCTATTGTCGGAGAAGGACTGCTCTCTCCAGACTCTCCAGTTCCAAAGATCTCAGGAAGCAGGCAACCAGCTTGCCATCAAAGTAGTCGGTACGGGACTGCAGGGACTGAAACGCTGGACTCCACATCCGTCTCCTTTCAGCTTTTCCACACTGCATGGAACTGATGTGGTTTGAACTGGCATCGCTGCCACTTGATGTACACAGATGCTCCATATTGTGAAGGTGCTAAGGATTTTTTTGGGGGCGCAAAAGTTCCATAAACAGAGTATTCCCACAAGGAGCTGTAAGCAGCTTCATGTAGCTGCAACGCCTTGGAATGTTCCTGCTGTACAAAAACATTGGGAAGCCTTTGCTTCCTCCTGAACACGTGCCCTTATATTGGCATACACATATATACCATTTTCACCCTATCAGTACTTAACGCTTGCAAAGTGTAGCAGACGGGATGGGGGAATCTAGAGAACTTTCTCACGGATCATGTCCATGGGTCAAATCTGTATGTTCCTTCCTTTGTAACTGCAATCTTGCAGCCTGACATGGCTTTACCTCCTCGTGCAGCTTCTCCTCGGCTGTTTTGGCTGTGAAACTGCACAGACTCTAGTCTTAGAAATGACCCACTGGCATTTATTTACGATGGCCCATGAAACATGGTAGCCATGTGGAGCACGAGATAACGTGGACTTCCTTCATGGACCATGAAGCAAATCCTATTTAAGCAGCAGGTACAAACACTCAACGGTGTTCAGAAGCTCCAGAAACAAATATACCTGTATTTTCTGGCTACATAGTAGCCACATGAAAACAAATTTGGCTTTTCCCCTTTCCAACTTTAATAATTGAACTTAGAGAACTAGACCCAAAGATTCTCCATAGCACAGCATCAGTTCTTGGTATCTTATTTCGTTAGCACTTTTTCCTGTTGAACAATTATTTAAAGCAATAATATAGATATTAGAGATCAGAAGTCATGTGAAAGGCAATTTTTGTCAGCATAGTTTACTGCAGGTGCCATTTTTAGTGGAAAATGGGATATAAATGCAATAAATAACAGAAAAAAAAACTGTACCTGTAATCCCAAGAATATGCAAAGGTACCAGGGAGGAAGGTCTTCAATGGTGTAGATCATATCTGTGCTTCGGGCATCGGAGCTTGCACTGCTGTCTAGCGTCTCAGCCAAAGAACTCTGTCATAAACAAAACCCAGGGGAAAACTGAGTGGATAATTATTTAATATTACAGAAGAACACACACAATTAACATGCTCTGTAATGAGGCAGCAAGGAGACCTGTAATGAGATCGTGTGTCCTGTTCCAAGGCAGGGCCAAGACATACACTTAAAAAGGAGGCCCCCTTTACCCTCCGCGTGTTCAGCTGCAGTGAGGAAGGGACAGGGCACGCAAGCGGGGAACCCTTCTTGTGATACAACTGCAGCACATTATCCAAAAGAAAGGTTAGGATGACCAATTGGTTTGCACAAACAAGGAAGTTTGGATCGCTTGACCCACACGCCAGGGAGCAAAGGGCAGCCAACCCCTCCCCCACAAAAAAACCTGGCTGAAGTTACATAAGACATTCAGTTGATGACTGTGCCGCCCCTTCCCAAAATGAACGCATGGCTTTCAGTGCCTACAAATGAACTGCAGCTGATGTGAATTCAAACCAGAGTTGCATCAGAAGGCATGTAAGATAAAATGGGGATCAAAGCCTGAGCACTACACATGACTGCAAAAGCAAGCAATGAGTGTTAAAAGCACTTCATTTTGGAAACACAGGCCCAGAGTGAGAAAGAAGGGGCCTCCCGGGCCATTTAGTCTGACCCCCAGCCCCGCTTACAACAGCCAGCCCCGCTTACAACATGCCTACCATGTGCGTGTCCAGCCCATCTTTGAGCACCCTCTCCGATGGGGCCTCAGCCGCCTCCCGTGGAGGCCCATTCCGTACCGTTGGGGTCCCAACTGTCAGGAAGTGCTTCCTGGCATCCAAATGGAGCCTGGGTTCCCTGAGCTTGGCTCCGTCGGAGCGCGTCCTGCCTTCCTCCGCAGGGGAGAACAGGTCTTATTTTTAAAAAATAATACATCTCACATGTCTGTTTGAACTGCCCAGAGGGCTCTGCCTGTGCGGCAGTCAAGAAATAAAAGAAAGAAGCAATAATTCCTCTCTTAAAAGTAGTTTCTAGGCATCCTTAACATTTGAAAATACCATGGTCAAACTCAAGAGAATGAAGAGGTGAAGGGCACAAGGCCCTGGGCTCAGTTTGTCATCTCTGGGAGGAGGTGGGAAGGACGCCAGCTTGAAAGCTAGAAGAACCGCTGCTGGTCAGCTGTGTGAACACGGCTGAGCTGGACGGACCGACAACCTGCTCCGTAACTTCCCAAGAGCAGAAGATGAGTCCCACTGGATCAGGCCAGAAGTCCATCCAAATGGGGATTCTGTTCCCCAGCCAGCTACCCACAGGAACTCACTAGCAGAACAGAAGAATCACACAAGCACAGCTGTGCCCATGTTCCCCAGCAATTGGTGCGCAGAGGCTTGCTGCCTTTCCCACTGGCGACACCTTCTCCACACCACACGTCCTTCTGTTCGTCTCTCTCCTTACTGGCTGTTTTCCCTAAGCTCATCAGGCCTACCTCCGGCTGCTTGTGCTTTTCTACACTTGCCTTTTTCTCAAAAGGAGAAAACCCACCTGCATGGGGTCTCTATAATCACAACTACCTGTGGCCATACCTCTTTGACTCTTTCACAGTAACATTTAATAGGAACCGTTTCCAAAGCCAGGAAGAGAATTGTACCAGTTGTATGTGGGTAAGTGCAAGGTCTTGCACTTGGGGCATAGGAATGGGTGTCACAAATACAGGTTAGGGGACAAGTGGCTGGAGAGCAGCACTTGTGAAAGGGACCTCGGGGTGCTGGTCGACTGCAGGCTGAACATGAGCCAGCCGTGTGATGTGGTGGTCAAGAGGGCGAACGCCACCCTTGGCTGCATAGCCAGAAGCGTGGCTTCTAGATCGAGAGAGGTATTACTACCACTCTACACGACTCTAGTGCACCCGCAACTGGAGTATTGTGTTCAGTTTTGGGCCCCTCATTACAGAAAGGATATAGCCAGGTTAGAATCAGTGCAGCGTAGGGCCACAAGGTTGGTGGCCGGTTTGCAGGGGATGCCGTATGAGCCGAGACTGAGGGAACTGGGCCTCTTCAGCCTGGAGAAGAGGAGACTCAGAGGGGATCTGTTGGCGACATACAGGGATGTGAGGGGATGTCACACGGAGGTGGGTAGAGACCTGTTCTCCCCTGCAGAGGAGGGCAGGACTTGCTCCAACGGAGCAAAGCTCAGGGAACCCAGGTTCCATTTGGATGCCAGGAAGCCCTTCCTGACGGTTAGCACCCCGAGGGTGTGGAATGGGCTTCCCTGGGAGGTGGGGGAGGCCCCATCAGTGCGGGTGTTCAAAGATGGGCTGGACGTGCACATGCTGGGCTTGTCGTGAGCGGAGCCGGCTGGTGCCGGAGGTCAGACTAGATGGCCCGGGAGGTCCCTTCTGACTCACTGTTTCTATGTTTCTCTGTTTCTAAACAACAAGCTGCTGAGGAATAATACGGAGATGTAAAGATCAGCAATTAGATAACAAAGTCCATGATGCACGCTCCTCTGCTGATTTATCCGCGCCGGGATGAAGCTGCTCTTGGTGTTCCAATGCATGCAAGATCAGAAAGGGTCAAAAATTGGGGAAGGTAACCCCTGCGTATCCAGCAGGACATTGTGTCTTGGCCCATCTGCATGTGCCTTCCAAAGCAGACAAGGACAGAGGTGTTATTCTGCCAAGGGCCAATCCTTGGAGCATCTGACGCGTCTCCACTGGTCCGTCCTTGTAGCCAGAGCCGCATCCTTGGATTAGAGCCCCTCCACAGCCCCCACCAGCTCACTGAACTTCCCACAGACCTTGAAAATGTCTGATTCTCAGCGACTGCCTGGTTTATTGCTGAATCAGCTGGCCTTGGTCCTTCGGCTGCAGATTCTTGCCCCTTCCTCTTTGTCTGAATCAGAATCTGATCCCACCGCCTCTGAAGGCTGTTGGCCAATCACTACTGAGGCCAGGATGAGTGCCACAGCCAGCCTCCGGAGGGTGTGGGGGAGAGGAAGATGGAGAAAGCGAGAGAAGCACAAGGGGAATTTGGAGCTTGCCCTGTGAACTGGGATTAAAGGAAGAATAATGCCTGAATGGTCTATCAGCCTACATGTGAATAGGTCACATCACCTTCCCCACCCTTGCACCCTCTAGATGCCTTGAACTATCCCTGACCATTATCTGGGGCTCATGGGAGCTGCACGCCAAAGATACCAAAAGGGCGCCATATTGGGGAAGGCTGAGATGGGGTTTGCAAAGGGCTGGCATGACTCTTTCCACGGAAGACCAGCAAAATCACTGAGATTGCATCGAAACAAAAATGCCATTTCATATTGATTGGCAACACCCCTCAAAAGAAGGCCCTATTTAATGTACCAGCCTCAAATCAAGTAGAAGGAAGGGATTATTTAACTACAGGGCTGACTTAATCCACGCTTGGCTTCAGAGTGAATCTTCCGGACTTGAATGTGATGATTTCTTGAGGTCCAAAACCACATGTCTGGCACATTTTCTACATGGACCACATCCTCCTCTGGTACAGCATTACAGAAAATTATGACAAGTCAAGTAACAGATAAGATTTGCTCCCAGCTGCGGCTGTGATCTAGATAACAGAAATGAAGTGCACGGTGTTCCCTGCGGGCTCGGCAGAAGAGAATGAAGAGAGAGCAGCTTCCATTCCGACAAGACGCCCTGTGCATGGCACAGGAGATACCACTGGGATCACATGGAATCACATCTGCCACATGGCCTGGCTCTGCCCAGTTCTTCAAACCATGCCACGGTTTTCAAAACTGGAGGTGGGCTGCAGGCAGTCTGTGTGAGAAGCACATGGAGCTTGCTTCTCCCTGCCCTCTTGGCAAGTCTGACTGTTTATTTTTTGGCACCGTCTTGCTAGGGAGAAAGAGCTCAGTTTGGACTGCAGGCCCAGCTGAAGGTGTAAGAAAGGCATCCAGCTGGATTCATGCACATACCCGAAATATGGCTTCGCACAAGCAAGGGCATCTTGTAGCAACTGCGTGAATGGACAAAACACGAAGAGTGCGATATTACAGTGGACATACTCCTTACAGCCATGCAGGATGACTACAAGCGCTCATGGCAAAGCCGTCTAAACTCATTCCCGATCCAACATGGGAATGAATGCCAGAATTAGCTACCAAGGGCTGAGCCTTAATTTCCCCAAATGCCTGGCAGGGAAAATGTTTCCTCCTGGAACTGAGAGGATGAGGCAAGTCTGGGGGAATATCCCCCACCTGTGGAGGGGTGCCACGGAAAAGGCCCGTTCCTCCATCAGTGTCCTCAAACGCTTCTACAAGTGGACACAGAGAGACCGCCCTGGATCTCAGCATCAGGGCAGCTACGTATGGGGAAAGGCACCTTTGAAGTGCCCCAGTCCCGAACTGGGCAAGGGACTTGCGGGGCAGGCTTCTGCAAGTTCCTTCCAGTCTCACTCCTGAGGAGGACTCTTCCCTGCCGAGTGCGGAGACAAAAGGGGAGTGACTGCACACGGCCCTTGCGTGTGGGCAGCTGCCACTCTGCTGGATGCTGCTTCAACTTGCTCGGCATCAAACAAGCGAAGCCGAGCTGAGGGTGGAGCAACAGGAAAAGCGCCAGGGCCGCAAATGCACCTCATTCCAACAGGGCGATTAGAACGCAGAGTGAGCTTGCTTTGGACAAGGCTCTGCAATTAACTCGCGGCATGACGAATGGTTTTCTGGGGGAAAGGGAAGATAGAAAGCACAGTGCTAAAACAGAATTGCCATGCCAGAAATGATTCTTTATTTGGATGTTACGCTTGACTCATCCCAAAGCCAAAAACTTGAAGCAAAACTTCCAATTAAAAAAATAAGAAACTGGAACTGACCTGCTGTCAATTTGTTTCTGTCCTATTGATTCCCTTGCACAGAATTGGCGGATCCCACCAATTCTGTTGTGTAACAAAGAAACAGAGCGAGTCAGAAGGGGCCACCCGGGCCATCTAGTCTGACCCCCAGCTCCAGCCGGCTCCGCTCACGACAAGCCCAGCATGTGCACGTCCAGCCTATCCTTGAACACC